GCGCGCAGTTCGGGGAGCAAACCCACCAAAAAAGTGGGATCTTAAGGCAAGGCCAGGGTAACCGGACAAGCGTGTCTACACAGCGGTGGCACAGCCAAAATAATCTGCTTTTCAGCTGAGGGCTGAGTAACGTTCCTGAGTTTCCCTGTCTGGGGAATCTCAGGAAAACCCAAAGAGTAAAAACTTAGACTCAAAGCAAAGTAGGAAGAAAAAAAAATATTACCAAGGAAGAGAGGAGACCCTGCGAACAGTCAGGCAATGAAGCAACCCTGCTGCATGAGCCGTGTAGGTGAGATCTGATTTAGCCCCAGGAGCAAAAGCGACTTCTAAAAATAGGAGAGTCGGGTTCACAGCCGGTGCCAACCATCGTGTCCCCCCCCCCAAAGTCAACAGTGCTGCTCCAGTTTTGTGTCAGCTGAAGATCTGACCTGAGATGTCTTAGCCCAGCTTTGGCCTCTGCTCCAAGCTCAAGGTTTGGTTTTTTTTCCAAAACTGTCTTAAAAATAAAATAAAATCTACGTATATACCCAGTAGGCACCGATACAGCACCAAAAATCCCACCAAACAAGTCCTCCAGAACCTGCCGCTGATCTACACGATCTCAACGTGCGCTCAACAGCTTGAGACGGGTGTTCCCAAAAAAAAAACCCATGACCCTACCGAGAGTCACCAGCCTGGAAATCCCAATGGAAGTGAGGTCAGGACTCTGCAAGTTGGGCTGCAAAGGGAAAAAATGATGAGGAGCTACAAGTAAAGCAGAGTTTGGAAGTAGAGGTAAAACCCCAACCAGGGCAGTTTCCCATGGGGAGAAGAAGTTTCACACTCCGGCTGGGACAGCAGCCGCGGTACGGACCGCATTTTCAGTGAGACTGGACAAGACCAGTGATCCCACGGGCATCGATGCTACAAGGAAAAGACGCTAAAAAGACGGGAGGGGGAATTTCTGACCGCATGCTCACGCAGTTGCCAGCTCAGGAGGTACCGGGAGAGAGAAGTGCTGGAAGCAGGGAAAGATGGAAAGATGGAAATAGCCAGGAGCCAAGTGAGTCAGGGCCCGAGGGGCTGCTCCGCGGGTGAGGAGAAGCAAAGACCGGAGAAATTCAGCCCCCGAGACTCTTAGTCACTGCTGTCGCATGATGGAGGGAGAGAAGACACTTTACGCACACAACCGGGACCGCTCTCCTTCCCGCTGCTGCCAAGGTTTGGCAAGATGCAGCCGACCGGCAGCTCCGGCGCATCCCCGGGCCAAATTCTGCAGTCGGCAGCACCCTTTTTGCTCTGAAAAGGAAGGGGGAGACTCCGAAACGAGGCAATATTAAAGAAATCCCACTTCAGCCACCCCAAAACGCCAGGGCAGCACCATGAACGTTGCACCTGCAGAGATGCTCATGGGTCCCAGAGCATCCTAGCGCTGGATGGTGACTCCAAACCAGTAATGGTTCGCTGCATTAACTGGGTGCACTGGGCAGGTTGCGCTCGCTTGGGTTGGTTGCATTGTTCCGTGCCTCAGTTTCCCCTTCTGCCAAAGCGGTTCTCCTAAGCTATTGCAAAACTATACCGATATTTTAGAGTGGAAACGGGGCGCAGAAGAGCCCGTGAGCATTATCACTGGAAGGGGACCGTCCCCGTGGCAGCGCTAAGCTGAGCCTTTGTCTTCGAGCAGTAAGAAGGAAGCGGGGAGCTCCCAGTGCAAACTGGTCCCACTCCAACCCCAAGGCAGAGCTCACATCACAGCCACCTCTGCTCCCTCCGACACATTCCTCCTGCTGCTGTTTAACAAACACCTTTCCGAGAGCACAGGGGGAAAGCAGAACCAAATAATAACGTGAGAAATCTGAGTTTAACTATTCTGCTTGGGCTTATGGAGCTTTTTTAATTTATTTTTTTTTATTTGGAGCTTTGCACCACTCCGAGCATCTCTCAGAAGCAAGGAGCTCTTGGAGATGGGCAAAAGATTGGGTACCCCTTTTAAACTGAGTAAAGCTCTTGCTGCCCAAGCATCCTCTGCGTGTGTGTGTGTGTGTTGCTCTTACGTTAGCTGCAAAAACATCGCCTTGACAAACCGACCCCCTGCCCCGCGCGCTGCTGGTGGGTGCGAAATGCCTGCAGGATTTCTTACCATTGATGGGTTTGGGGGTTTTTTTACACCTCTAAATACATCAAGAATTCATTTAGATCCCAAATGCCTATATGTGTGTGTGTGTGCGCGGCAGATTTATAAGCTGGGTGTGCCCGGGACACACACACACGTGGGGATGGGACCGGATGGGTATGGAGCGGCGTGGGTGGGTGTCTGGGAGGGGGTCGGTGGGCAGCGCTTTGGGGATGATCTAAGAGTAAGCTGGGAGAGGAGATAGTGCCCGAGTCGGGCTGGGAGCCCAAAGATGTGCCTGGTTATGGGGGCTATGTCCTGGGCATGTCGGGG